GGGGGGGGGGGGGGGGGGGTACTGGAGGGGGGTTACTCATGTAATGGCGTGTGCCGTAGTCGTCAGACCGTACTGGTGTATGTCGGAGGACGTGGTGGATGGAGCTTTGCATCCCTGCGTTGCCGAGACGGAGCGCGACATGCCGGGTTGTTCGCCGGTCCAGGCTGTTGGCTTCGCAGTGATGAACCGGAAGCTGGCCGTCACTCTTGTGTTCGCTGTGCCAAACCTCAAGCATGCCATGGTTCCATGTTAAGCTGGGGGGGGGAGTGACCAGGCGGGGGGGTTACATGCCTGTGCCATTGTGTGTGTGCGGTGGAAGATTGGGAATCTGCGGTGGTCGGGGGGGGGGGGCATCCGATCAGGGGAGCGATTTTGTGCCCCCCTTCCCTCTGCAGGCGATCTGGACGGCGGTTTTGGGGTTTTATATTTAGGACAGTATATGCTCTTCTTTTTCTCTTTGCTTTCTTTGCTCCCAGCTTTGGCAATACAAGTGTGGTGGTAGCCACTTGCATGCTCCGTGAATCCGGCTTTCCGGAATTGGAAGTGGCTATTCTTGTAGATTCCGTCCAATGCTTTGCTCGGCTCGATTGACGCGTAGATACCTAAGTGTTTTCTGTTTTTTGTGTTTGTGACTCCAGGTGTTCTTCATGACGGCAGGCGGTGTGAGCAAGGCGTCCAGGGGCATCAACCTATCTGAGGACATCTTCGCCGGGTACAACGGCACCATCCGGGGAGGGCAGGTGCGCGCTTTTTGCTTTGACGACTGCTCTCAGAGTGAACACACCTTTTTTCTCTCTTTGGGGTTTTACTTTGTTGATGATGCTTCATTAGTTTTTCAGCAACTCTTAGTTTTTTTTGCGCACTATATATGCATGATGTATGATTTTTCTCGAGATGGGGAGGGGGGGGGGGGGGGGGGGGGGCGCCCCCCCCCCCCCCCCCCCCCCGCCTTAGACGTAGCGGGGCACATCGTGGAGGACACATGGATGCTTTGAAGGTGTTGATGTTGATGTTTACCCTTACTTCGATGATGGTCGTGATGCTCTGTTTTTTCGGAAACCCCAATCTCTTTCTGAAATTCCCCTTAGTTTTCCGTATCTCGGGGGTATTCCCATGCCCCCCTCCAAGACGTTACAACCCCGATCGATCCCCACACCCTAATAATAAAACTTCGTGGGCAGATCTTCTTCAAGGAGTACGTCCAGGTGGGCAAGGGCCGCGACGTGGGCATGCAGCAGATCTACAAGTTCGAGGCCAAGCTGTCCCAGGGCGCCGCGGAACAGACCCTATCCCGCGACGTGAACCGCCTTGGCGATCGCCTCGACTTCTTCCGCCTCCTGTCATTCTACTTCGGCGGCCTCGGCTACTACGTGGGCAACTTCATCACGGTGCTGACGGTTACCTTCGTGGTGTACTTCGTTCTCGCCCTGGCCGTGTTCGACGAGGAGTCCATCGGGGACCGCAAACTTATCCCGGAGGGAAACCTGCAAGTGCGTGAGACCGTTTGGTGGGGGGGGGGGGGGGGGG